ATGCTGTTTTTTATAGCTCTAGGGTGCATAGGCTAAGCAACATAGCGTGCACTTCCAATCTATTCCCAACTTCGAGTTGTTTAAAATATTTTTTTTAGGCCAAACTCCATCCCTATAGCACATTTCATATAATTTGCAAATTAAGATGATTATCATTATGGTAGAGTGACAGACAGGTTTAGAGGGCTATGTTTCAGATTGCACCATCAAATTAAACATCATTATCTCAACATATTACTGCTACTCATCTTCAGAAATCCTTGCCACTGCATGCTCCAGGTATTTAATGCAACCATCTGAAGATGTTAGACAATGTTATTTTGCTATATTGTCTTTAAAAGTGTGATAAATACTCTCCCCTGTTAACTTTAAGTGAGTCTCACTCACTATTATTAAACATTTTGCATCCAGAAGTACATTTCATTTAAAAAATCAAAAAAAAAGAACATCCAGTTATTTTCTCGTCCCGAGAAACATAACGCTATGCAGACACAAATAGGCTATTCATTATCAGCACATATGTTATGTGATCTTGAGCCACATCACATCAGTTTGCACATGATAGGAAAAATGTATGATTCATAAATCATGACATTTGTGCATAATATTCACAGTTAATATAGCATTAAATACTACAATAAGTTTTGAATAAATACAGATAATGTGTATGACAAATAGAGTGTCTGCTTTCCAATAGCGCCCCCTACACTCTTAAAAATAAAGGTGCTTCAAAAGGTTCTTCAAGCGATGCCATAAAAGAACCACTTTTGGTTCCACAAAGAGCCATTCATCTCTTTCTTACCTTTTTATAATCTGAAGAACCTTCTTTCGCCACAAAATCTTTGTGGAACAGAAAGGTTCTTCGGATGTTAAAGGTTCTTTATGGAACCATTTAGACAAAAATGTTCTTCTACGGCATCATGAAGCACCTTTATTTTTAAGAGTGTAATTACAAATGAGAAATCATTCTGCAGACTGTTTCAAAAATTGCGATACATAATGTTCGGTTAATTCATCAACTGTAGTTAGTTCGTTTTGGTATCCACCGTAAGAAGCTTAAATCCTTGAACAAATCTTATAAGTTCTTCGGACTCTGTTTTTATTCATCTTAAAGTAAAACGGGGCTGTGGAATTTAGATCTAAGCTCATACATTTACCCTAAATTTCTACCTGCCATGGTTTTAATAAAGAAACATATTTCTGAAGACGTAGCTTGGCCTTGTTTTACCTCTCTGCTGAATGTCAGTGTCTTGTCAGTTTCTTGGATGAGGAAAAAAAATGACATATCCAACACGGCAATGAATCATTCCCTCAGAGATAGCTTTACAAGAATTAAAGGCAGTTCTCCCTTACACAACATTCCCAATGGGGCTCTGGGTCCTGCAGCAACACCACTGTTGTAACTAAAGCTGCCTCTAGGTGAGAAACATCAACTATATATATAAATGTAAATGCAGTTAAAGTCTTTGAGAAAATCGTGTAAAGAGGTCACCTTGCTATAGGTAAAATCACACCCTGGGGCAAGAAGCCCTGTACTAGCTGTCAGATTTTTTAATTATCATATTTAATGTTTAATTTATTTAGACAATTTTTTAAATGTATTAATGTAAAATAATAATTTATATATTCTATCAGTCAAATATAGCCTAATAATAATAATAATAATAATAATGACAACAACAACAACAACAGCAATTAGATAAGAAAAGAAAAAAGATGAACTAATCACAATGTTTCAAATAAATTTTTTAAATGTTGATGATCAGAATTATTTGGTTATGTTGCAGGGGGTGTCTTGCTTCATCTTCCCCTAATGCATTTCTAAACTTCTATAACTTGAAATTTCAAAATATTCCATATTTTATTTTATTGTATTTATTTTATAATAATAATAACAACAACAACAACAACAAGAAAAACAACATTTACTTCCCTCCACACTAAACATGTCTTTATTTATTTATTTCAGGTTTATTTGACAGGGACAACGCACATCAATAATACATAAATGTACAATGTGCCAGAATTAGCCAAAAGGCTCTTTTACATCTGCAGTCCCTGGACTCATGATAAAATTGTCACCCTAAAAATATTAAAGAAATAAACTATACATGAAACATTCATAATACATACATACTCCAATATACAAATAAAGATTACACTATACATAATACAGTTCTATCCAACTATACTTACAACCAATACTTGGAGTTAATGGAGTTTCTTTAATATTTAATTTTATTTTAACCTGCCTCCTTCCACATAAAAAAAACAATTATTTAACTATTGGTTGGAGTTAGTGCAGTGTTGGTGAGACCAGTGGCAGAATTTATGGTCAGTATATGGTCCATATGGTCTGCATTTGGTCCAGATCACATGCACACCAATGTGTGAAAATCTGTGTAAATATCCAATAAAATCTCAAGCAGCGTTTCATAAATAGGACAGGGGTCAAACATGACGCATACGGACCTCCAGAGTCCACAGAGAGCTTGATGAAAAACACCACAACTCCTGTGACCTAGTGATATCATCCAAACAACATAACGTGATGTGTTGGTGAACATACCGTATAATAGGTTCACAAATGTTGATCATTATAAACTACATATTAATGCACAGCTTTATTAATATAATGTGAATTTAATGCACATCTTTCAAAGCGTGCTTGTTTATAGTCCCTAAACTTGGATCCTTCATGCTGCTGAACTTTAAGGGCACTGTTGTGACAGTATACAAAGATTTATAGTGCAATAACTTTCTCTTTCCTCAGGGGATTTATGTGAATTCCTGTTTTATGTATTATACCGTACATCCACTGAGATATAGTGCAGCCATATGCTTTGGTTTGGTTTGACAGTGCTGTGATGTCATGCTTACAGTGATGTCATATACTTTGAATCTATTTGATTGTATGTTTTTAGATCTCACCCTTCACATATCGATGTGTACTGTAATTAATTAGCACTTGTGTAAGTGCCACATGTGTGCAAACAAATATGATTTTCCAGCTTGTTCTCATGTAAGTTGTTTTGTCTGTGGGAAATACTCTATATTTTGCTGTTCAGCTGGTTGGCGGAAGGCGTTACTAATGTTAAACACAAGGCCTTTCAAATGTGAAGTAATGCATGAAGCAGATGTAGTGTTATGCACCTTAAGAGCTTCATGAGGCTGGCCAAATATCTGTCTGGCTGTCTCAAAATCTCAAGTGCTCTATACTTTCCCTTCTTTTTATCTTTGGAAAAACACAGACAGAGCTTTTCTCACATTGAATTGTACATACCTCCTGCTCCAGGTGTTTTCCAGTGTACTGTACAACACATAACTAAACATGGACTGAACGGCCTCAAACACCCTTTGTCACAGCTTTTCTTAAATATACAGCTTCAGCGCCCTCTGTTGATCAATGACTTACAGTATATTGTAATATTGTGGTTTATATCAGCGTGTGTTGGATATTTAATTGTGCAAGCTCATATGTAATTATTTTTACATGTATGGTGATCTTACTTAATTCATCATTAACACCACTAATTTAATAACAACAATTACAATTAAACGCTATCTTTAGTAAATCAAAAATATTCATTTTTGCACTTTAATGTTGTGATGCCTGATTGTTTTTTATTTGCATTTACTTACTTCGAAAACGTATAGAATTTTTATATCAGACATACATCGGCTATAACATAAAAATAATTATTGGCTTTTCAGTCAAATTGTTTATTTCTGTCCTTTAAAAAAAGTATTTAAAAAGTCCTACGAAACCCAATTTCATTTTCTTCCTTGTAACAAGGTGCTTGAAATCAATCATGGACATGTATCAATAGTGTGTGAAGAATTATCTTCATACCTAAAACTGCCTGGTATTAATTGGTTCAATGAAACACAAAGGTTTGAGTGCCAAAGCAAATAATACTTTTCATAGCCTACGTGACTGCTCTTAATTATATGAGATGGGAAAACATTTCAAAAACAAATTGCCTACAAAAGAAAACCAGCTTTTGGTTAGGCCTATTGATTCAATTAACTATAAAGGAGAGAAAACATGCTCTGAAATTTATAGGCATTTCAAATGCTGCAGCAAATTCCTCACTGTATAAATTAAAACCTTCTTACAATGACTTACAAAATTTATGATTTATAAATATGAGAATTAAAACGTCACATGCTGATTTAGAGGTTGATTTATAAAGATATACGCCTGGTTTACATTGAGATTAATCACTGGTTAGCTTCATCCTGTTAACATTTACTCTGAACATGTTGCCTTATGCTGGTTTTAGAAATTTTAACCTTAAGGGTCCCCTGAAATGCTTAAAAAACATGCAGCGTTACTCTATGTGTTGACGTCATTTGAACTGAAACAGGAAAACAGGGCGGGACATTTCAAGCAGCCCCGCCCCTTTTTAAAATAGCCAATAGCGTTCGTTTATATCACAGCTTAGGCTAGAACCGTTCAGGGCCTTTGAGTTCCGTAAAGCTGCATTTGACAGGGTATGCCAGCCACAATCTCGTCCATATTGCTATATAAAATATAGCATTCTGTGTAGAATTCAAATAGCTCCAATATATTGCCGACTCGCGCATGTGATCCGCTCCGTGCTATCGTGTCTCTGGACGGGAGCAGAGTGTGTGCGGTGCGGTGGTTAGCGTGACACAGCGCGAAACCAGACTTTTTTTTTTCCTCAATGGAAAGCATATTTACACTGCTTGAATCGTTCCCTGTCCCCTATATAGTGCACTACGTGCCATTCACTGTACAGAAAATACTAATTCTGTGGACAAGTGACCGATTTCAGCCGCGAATTTTGTCAGTTTTGGAGCACACTGCCTTATAGATAACCTTAAGACTAACATATTGATACTAGCACCCAAAAAACTTGATTTCATGGGGACTTTAAATGTTAATGAAAAAAATGTCAACTAGGCTACATCTGTTCAGCAAATTCCTCTAACCAATCATAAACCTCAAAAAGCAACACGTGACTAAACGCGGAAGCGCATGTGTAGTGGACGAGCTGCAAGCTAGTCTTTAAAAAACGTCTTTATCGGATCACGTAATAGACGCGCACGAGTCCAGCAGCAGCTCAGCTGTCAGAGAGCTGAAGCTGTTCAACAAGCCCGGAATAACGCGGAACACACATTAAACTCCATATTTCATTTCATTTATCACATCTCCTGGTGAGTTTCCAAATGGAAATGTTTTGTTAACTGCTTTGAATACAACAGATGAGAGGTGGAGGTTAATATGTGGGCTTTATGAAAGGGTGTTAGCCAGTAACACTTTCATTATGTTGGATTGTTGTTTTAATACTTAATAAGATACTTGTGTTTCAAGAGTCACTAGATAAACTACCATCTAGGCCTCTTCTTCAAGTCTGAATGTCACTTCGCAATGTTAAGCAGGTGTTTACTTTGTAAATCCTCATGCATGACACGCTCGTGGTCAGTGCGTGCGTCAGTATAAGCTGGTCCAATGCTAATAGGCCAAAAAAAGGTCGTTTAGCTTAATTTCTCAGAATACGCATAATAATTGAAGTTCTTCTGTAGAAAAATACTACAGCATATTAGTACCATGGTACTGTAATGACTCCAGATGGTAATACAGTCAGTGGTTCTCTGATATTATATGCTATGGTACTGAACTTCATGTTTCATTGTATTTACTTTTAAAAAATAGTACTTAATATGCTTTAAAAGAATATACTTAAGTGTTAAATTGAAATGAAATGCAATCAGTTGAACTTAAGAGTGCTTTTTTGGCATAAGAAGGACTTAAGTACATTTTTGTATGTAATTTCATGAGTTCTTCCATTGTCTTTGAAATATGGTTCAGGTATGTTGAATGTACTGACAATTTATGGTAAACTCAAATGTACTTTAATGCCATTCCAAAAAAAGGTCGTTTAGCTTAATTTCTCAGAATACGCATAATAATTGAAGTTTTTCTGTAGAAAAATACTACAGCATATTAGTACCATGGTACTGTAATGACTCCAGATGGTAATACAGTCAGTGGTACTCTGATATTATATGCTATGGTACTGAACTTCACGTTTCATTGTATTTACTTTTAAAAAATAGTACTTAATATGCTTTAAAAGAATATACTTAAGTGTTAAATTGAAATGAAATGCAATCAGTTGAACTTAAGAGTGCTTTTTTGGCATAAGAAGGACTTAAGTACATTTTTGTATGTAATTTCATGAGTTCTTCCATTGTCTTTGAAATATGGTTCAGGTATGTTGAATGTACTGACAATTTATGGTAAACTCAAATGTACTTTAATGCCATTAATGTTTAAACTTGTATGTCATGTATTCAAATATTTACGTAATTACGTATTTGAACGGATTCAGCTCTAATATATATACATATATATATACATACATATACATACATACATATTTAGTATTTTTTTCTGTAAAGGAAAATAAAGCATGTTTTAGGAACGTTAAGATTTTTTTTTCATTCTGACAATTTTAATTTCAATTAAACAAATTTTCTCCACAAATTAAATTTTTTTAATACATAAAATATAATTTTTTTTTATTTAATTCAGTGCAACAAATTTTTAATAATAATGAAATGATAAATTTTTAGTTTTATACATTGCTATTTGTTGTGCTAAATTCTATAAACCAATAAACACACATATACACACATTTTGTTTCTTTTATTTGAAATGTTAAATAGTCTTTGTTGTACTAAATTTAATAAATAAAAATGAGTAGAAATAAATGTAGTCATTTTAAAATTCTGGTTGAATGACATTTTTGCATAGTACAGTAAGGATAATTTGGGGAGAAAATGTGCTTTATAAACTGTTAGTTTGTAGAATTATACATAAATATAATTTAAAAAAAAATTAATTAAAAAAATGTTTTTAAAGTAATCATTTTTAATTGACATTTTTATGTACATGACAGTTAAGCATGTTTTCTTTTATAAATGTATAGCATTTCTTTGTATTAGAACAAATAGTAGGACAATAAAAAATAATGTCGCAATGCAAAAATCTTAATGGCCCTAAAAACAAGCTTAATATTATTTACACAAAATATAATTTCATATTTGTGGGTGACATGTGACCCAGACATGTTTAAGGCAAGTTTCATGAGATTCTTTCAAAAATGGTTTCTTGATCTGTTCAGCTCATAGAGACTGTTCATGTAGAAAATTACCAGGCATTTGTACAGAACGGTCCAAGTAGGCTTGTTTTCAAGACATGGTGTCCTGTAACCTACTTTCACAACCTTTTGTCTGGCTCTAAAGCTCCTTGCGCTCTTGAGATGGTGTTATCTTTAATGAGACCAACCTCATCCATTGTTTCTTAAAGGGTTAGTTCACCCAAAAATGAAAATTCTGTCATTAATTACTGACCCTCATGTCGTTCGAAACCTGTAAGACCTTCGTTCATCTTCTGAACACAAATTAAGATATTTTTGATGAAATCCGAGAGCTCTCTGATCCTCCATAGACAGCAAGGATACTATCACGATCAGCACACAGAAGCGTAGCAAGGACATCGTTAAAATAATCCATGTGACATCAGGGGTTCAACCGTAATTTTACGATGCTACGAGATTACTTTTTGTTAGGGATGTAACAATTAACCGCGAGCCGGTTGAAAATCGATTTCAATATGTGACGATTCAAATCTGTTGAGATGCTAAACAAATCGCGATTCAATTA